GGGAGCGACATGGCGGCGCAGTGGTCAGCACTGTTATAAGATGTTGGGAGCGACATGGCGGCGCAGTGGTCAGCACTGTTATAAGATGTTGGGAGCGACATGGCGGCGCAGTGGTCAGCACTGTTATAAGATGTTGGGAGCGACATGGCGGCGCAGTGGTCAGCACTGTTATAAGATGTTGGGAGCGGCATGACGGCGCAGTGGTCAGCACTGTTATAAGATGTTGGGAGCGGCATGGTGGAGCGGTGGTCAGCACTGTTATAAGATGTTGGGAGTGGCATGGTGGAGCGGTGGTCAGCACTTTTATATGATTTTGGGAGCGGCATGCTGGTGCGGTGGTCAGCACTGTTATAAGATGTTGGGAGCGGCATGGTGGCGCAGTGGTCAGCACTGTTATGAGTTGTTTGGAGCGGCATGCCGGAGCAGTGGTCAGATGGAAACATTAAAGCTGAAGACTGAACACAATCCAATACTCGTAACAGTAAATTTTAAATTATAACTTGGAGCACCTCTAGAGTGTTTATGGTAGTGGGCCATAATTCATTCATAGCAGCCAACCTTATCATTAGCCAGTGATATGTTTAGAATTTGTTAGTGGCAGGGGAGGGGCACTTTGGAACCAATCAGGTGTCAGCTGGGGCTGGTGCACTTGTGGCCCCGCCCTTGTAAACACCCCAGATTATAACTACTGCAGGGTCTGATTCATGTAACTTCTGAGCATTATTCATAAATACAGTTAATTGTTTTAAAATATTGTTTCATTTTTTTATTTCAATTTTCTCTTATTTAATGAGGCAGCAGTTTTATTTGATTAAAATGAACATATATGTTTACAGCTCAATACATTTTTAGTTTTACTGAATTCAAAATGAACCAACCATAACTGGTTTGAGAAAGATGGCTTTTTAGCCTTTTTTCTTTCCACAATCCATTTCAGTCATGACAGGAAGATGCCTGGGAGATTGAGGGAGAGGACACACTTACAGACGAGTAACTGACAGCTGTACACATATTACAGCGACTCATCAGTACCAGACGCTCCGTTTAAGGATGTAAGGCCTCCGGGACTTGCTGCTGAGAAGGTGCCGTTTCAGGATGTATGGCGACTTCTGCTTTAGCTGAGACTCATTGTTTTCTATCTGATGTGGATTGAGGTATTCTAGGTCATCCTGAACATGTCACAATGAAACACATCCATCACTAAACACTTATTAGTCTATGAAATGCATAGAACTCAGCAGTGGATTAATCGGCTACAAAATTTGTCCTTAAAAGACAAGAAGTATAATTTTAGAATTAACAAGAGTTTGTGTTTATTAAAAGTAAGGAAGAATCTGAAATAAAACTATGATGCAATTGATGTTTTATGTAAAGTAAAAAAGAGTCACAGTAAAAAATAATCTCTGGATCAGCAGGGAGAGTCGGGGTGTGACTGTCAGAATCAGCAGTGTGAATACGGGGTGTGGTGCTCAGGATCGGCAATGTGAGTGGAAGTGTGGATATCTGGATCAGAAGTGTGAGTAGAAGTGTGGCTATCTGGATCAGCAGTCTGAGTGGAAGTGTGGCAATCAGGATTGGTGTTGTGAATGGGGGTGTGGTGCTCAGATCAGCAGTGTCAGTGGAGGTGTGGCTATCAGGATCAGCAGCATGAGTGGGGGTGTGGCTGTCAGGATCAGCAATGTGAGTGCAGGTGTGGTACTTATTTCAGCATTGTGAGTAGGTCTTGGCAATCAGGATCTGTAGTGTGAATGAGGGTGCGGCTGTCAGTATAGTGAGGTTCAGCAGTGTCAGTGGGGGTGAGGCCCCTCACCTCTGAGTGGTGCAGAGTCCTACAAAGGTTCTGTAGGTTGTACTGCCCACCTAAAGCCTCAGGCAGCAGCAGGAAGCGCTTCTGGGGCTGAGGGGTCTCCTTGGCTAGGAGCAGCTCTTTCCAGAGGCCCCTCTGCCTGCAGACATCCCTCAAGGTGTCCTCCCAAAATGGACGGGTCTGTTTGCTCACCTGGAAACAGCACCCATAATATCACTTTGCATCATGCTGGAATGTATCCACATGGTCCCATTTGAAAATAAACCATTCCCCCTTTCCAACCCTCTAAACTGGTTAAACACAGTTTAATCTGGACCATCCCCACCCCCACAACCAAGTCTTACCTGAGTAAAGTAAGGTGAAGTTTAACAACAACTGGGTCTTTGTGATTATTCATTATTGTGCTTTTTCGTTCCATACATATATGCAAACAGGGTTGCACAGCATGCGCTGTCGATCTATTTAGCAGCTCCATGAATTAAAAGCTTTTGGAGAAGTTAAGCTCTGATGCTAAAAAACACTATCCTCCGATGCTAAGATCTCATTCTATGCCCTGAACCTCAAAAGGTAGGGAAGGCTACCTTTGAAGAGAAGATTCGGTTCAATAAGTCTTCCTCTGCCAGCCGCTGCCTTTCATCATCTGTTAAATAAGCAAAGGATTTCAAAATACAGCAGTATGCCATATTAGCATAATACCACCCAAGCCTAGACTAATAACTTTTTAACTGTTCATAAAAGTTTACCCGTTTCACGACACATCTTGCATGTGTTTGTTCCAATACATCTGCCTTCTGCTGGTCTGATGGAGTATCACTGCTGTATGCAGCACCGACCGCGACCGTCCACATTGGCAGCCAAATGCAGTATGAACACAACCTGCCGCACGGACCACCATCCACAGCCCAAAAGCACATGCGCAAAAGTGAAGTATGACCTGGCCTTTAGATTGTTTTAGTAAAAATGTCAGTCTTAACAGCTATGCTGTCTAGAGTTCATCCAAATGGCATGCAACACAGATCCTGAAAAGAAGTTTCATTTTCTATGTAGGTGGAAACAAAGAATGATAAAATTATAAAATTACAATTACTGCTGTTGATTACTGCTTTTGATATTTGATGTTAGATAGGAAAAAACAGCGACTTTTCTTATTGTTCTAAGCCAGTTTTCTTAAAATAAAATCTGGAAAACACATACAGCAAATTACTTTAAGAATAGAAAGCAAGCGAAATTGACAAACTTCAGTATTTTGACATCTATCATTTAATATAAACATCACTTTAAAACAATTAAATCCAACCAATATAAATAAAAGCATTAAATGTGCAATAAATACATTGAAATGAAACTGATGATCCTGGCATTCAGTTTCTCAGTTGTATTGTTTGATTGAAGACAAATATTTTGTCTTCTGTATAGTTTTAGTAGCAAATCATCCTTGGTCCTTGGTTCTTGGTTTTTGTTTCTAATTTCTACTTCTGTTTTATTTTAAAGAATCACTGTTATTAAAACGTTTTTGAAGCTTCCTCATTTTACCACAAAGCACAAAATCATTCAATCTATTCACTTTATCAAAGCATCATCACTTTGTCTCCAAGCCCTCACGGGATCTGCACAAAGTCTGGAACAAAATCTGAAACACCTACCAGAAAACACTCCACCATTAAGTGAAAAGAGGAAAACAACCCAAAGCAGCAGGAACCTCATCTTGTCAAATGCACCGTCTCTGTGTTTCTAGGCAGTGAGCAGAGGACCACGTTCCTGACTCTCTTTGGTCCAGCCTGCTTGTCTGCATGCAGCGTAAGAGAGAGAGGAGTCCATTCCCTGCGTTTATAGGCAGCAGAATGATGTCAGACCTTCACGCCACATCCAGGAAGCTTCCACCTGAGACATATGAATGATGCCCATGTGAAGCCTCACTTCACTAACTCATTGGGAAAAACATTTGTCGCACATCATAGAACCGGCCATGAAATTGTTTCATGTGGACATTTGATACAGTTAGAATACTTTTTATGTGCATATTTGTGTTGCTTTGACACTTCTCTTTGCATTGTGCTCCCAATGTCCTCTGTTTTGCAAAGCAACATGGTCACCCTATTGTTAAGTAAATAATTTCTATAATCATCTTGAATTTTATTCAAGATGCAGAAGCATTGGTGCAGTGCAGGTGGTCATGTCACATCTATTTAATATTTAAAATGCTTCTCAAAGAACAGTATTATTTCTATGCTATCAGAGCCACAGAGAAAGCAGTTACTAGATAATCTGAATGTTTCTAGAAAACACATTATGATCATTTGGGACCATCTTTCTGGTGCATTTTTTTGGGCTGAAGTTAGAGGGATCCAAAGGAGCAGACGTTAAGTTATATCCTGTTCTGTTCACTGCTTAACTGTGAATAACCCCACCCTGCACATCCAGATTATTTTGGGTAGTACTTGTTAAGACCACTCTGTGATGCATTTCTGAATATTTGTTTACACTTTTCTTTAATTCTTATGGAGCCCTTTGGAAGAAAGTTCCTGAAAGCAGGCATGAAAAACAAATATTGTGAACCAAAATATTTGTGGCTTGAACTGTTTGTACATGTTTCAGAAATGTCTAAAAAATCATGAGTATTTGCCAGTGTAACATAGCATCTAAAAATGTGTGCTTTTTATTGTATTGTATTGTGTTTTGTAGTTGGCACAATGGTTAGCTTTGTAGCCTCACATTTCCGGGACCAGGGTTTGACTCTCTGCCATGGAGTTTGCAGGTTCTCTCCATGTTGTCGTGGGGTTTCCTCTGGGTACTTTTTCACCCACAGTCCAAAAACATGCTGAGGTTAATTGGAGTTATTATATTGCCTGTAGGTGTGCATGTGTGAATGAATAGTGTGTGTGTGAAGGCCTGCTCAGCTGTTGTGCTGGTCAGAAACAAAATAATTTAACTTTAACATTCTACAACAACGTTTCAGAATGTTAATCAGTGAGCACTACAAGCACACACACAAATACGCAGCACACAGTCAGTGTGATCGCTTGACATTTAGAACTGAGTGAGTGCAGGGTGCAGTGGCGGAGGTGCCACAGCTAGCTGTTTGCTAATGCTAATCACTGGAAGTTTCTCAAACGATGGATGGTCAAAAGATTCCAGGCGGGGATGAAAAAGTGCAGACTTTTTATGAGTGCAAAGTTTTTCTTTTTAAAAGTGCAAGATATACTGATGTTTCGTTTCCCAATCTAATTTTATTTATTCATTGAACATATGTTGTTAAGAATTACACAGTACAAAAAGTCTCTATATTTTGTGTTCAAATAGTATGTCCATGTTTATATTAAAAACCACGCTATAAAGAGTTTTATAAAAAGTGTAATGCAATACACAACTGTATTTCATGAAATCCAGGGCAGGAGCTACTGAACAATTACAAAACTAATAAAACAACAAGCAGAAATATTAATTTTATCATACAAATTAAGGGATACATGCAATAAAGTCTTATTAAGTCAGAGCAATGACACCTAAAAGGTTAAGATAATGTCAATTGCTCTACACAAAAAAAATAGATCCTGTACTGGAAAAAATCTGAAGTTTGTGAGAATGACCCATATTTTAATATTCGTTTAATGGTTTGACTTAAACTTGTGATGTGCAAATGACTCATTTCAAACAAAAACACTACTTGCAAGCAAGTACAAGCTGAATTTCAATGTTTTCAAAAAGGCTCTGTGAACAGATGGCAATAAGAAAAGAGAGAGCATTGTATTGTAAGTAGGGATGTTAAAATATATTTTATTTTTATGTCACTTTGGCGATAATTGATGTATACCACCTTTACATATAATCGCATTTACTAAACAGGCGGATCGAAAACCGTGGTCAATCAGAATTTATTTGGAAAATGGTTCTATAAAGAGACGTCTGGCAACCAGTGACGGTTCACTTTAAGGTGAGTGACTGAGTGAAAGATCTTAGTTTAAGGTATAAGCCTTAAATTAAATAAAACAAATATTACAAATCATTTATCCTGTGCATGCCTCTGTCTAGTAATTTTAAAAAATGAAATAAACTCGGTAACATCAGATTCCCTGTAAGATACTGACCTTACTACCTTTATCCCCCGATTCTCTAGATCTCTACTACACAGAGACACACTAAAATACATGCGTAGATATGTGCAATAATGTTATGTGCAATAGGCCAAAGTGTCACTTGGGAGTTTTTGGTTCTTATCCTCCTTTGTCATCTGGCTTTCTTTATTTTATTTCTTTCCTTTTTCCCGTTAATAAACTAAACAATAGCCACTAGTCTGCCTTGTCCCAGCTCAGTTTGTGAGGTCTAATGCAATGTCTGCTCCTCGTTTCAATCATCAGTTGTATTGTATCATAACTGATTTTATTTTGTGATTAGACGTGTATTCTCTTTTTTAATTGAACCACAGCATAGTGAAAATTTTCATGGGAATCGCTTTCGACAATATGTATATTCTTTCCCCCTTTGAAACCACAATAAATACAGCCTATAGGTGCTCATTCATGTTGTGATTCTCTGGAAGTCTATGGAAGACTCTTGTATGCTTTGTCTAAATGGACAATAGACAGAAGCTTATTAGTCAATATGCTCTGATTACGTGTTTTTGGAGCCTGTCCAAACACTATGCTCCTCTGGGAGTCTATGAGAGCTTCATACATACTTTTTGCTTAGGCAGCATTGATTGGACAGATTGACTTGCAGTGAGATATTTTAGACCCGCCTGGAAGCCAGACTTCTCTACATGGTGATTGGGTGATGTCTTGAAAAAACAAGATAAAATACCAATAACATTAATGCTCATGACTGAAAAATAACGCATGCTCTGGAAAGTATTGGCTCAGAGTATTCATTCGCATGAAGGGACATGGCCAGATCTAGAAGTGGGCAGGGGTGGGCAATGCACACCCAAATTTCTGCTCTGCCCGCCCAGTTGGTCACCTTCAGCCTGCACCATCTGAATCAGCCTGCACCATTCCAATCATGTTTATTTAATTTGTCCCATCAGATATTCTTCTGCGGAGCATTTGTAGTCACCTGTGAAAGTGGGAAAGGAATGTTGCGTTATTCCTATTAAAGTTCCTACTTGTTAAAATGTATCTATTGTTGCTGTAGTTTGCTGTAATTTTGTGTTGAATAAGGATCTTTGCTAGTAGTGGTTCAGTTAACTCTTATACAGTTAGCTAGCTAACATTTCTGTTGGCTAGGAGTCTCATTAGAACAGTACAGTGGAACCCCTATATCGGTAACCACAGTCCAAGTGTAATCTATAAATTAAACTTCATCATAGGTTTGTAAGTACACAGAAAACAAGTCATTTATAGTGCTCACTGCTATCCACGGTTTCAGATCTCTGCAGTAGGTTTTGGGATTGCATCCCCCACAGATGCGGGTTCACTACCTTATTTAACATTTGACAGTTTGCTAATGTTGATATCAGCGAGGGGTTGCCAAATTTGGTCAGCTGGCTGGAGCGAGATTCTCAGTTCAAGAGAATTCTGCACATATATGCACATGCATTCACATGTATGTAGCAGTTCTATTACCTTACTAAATTTCAATAATAATAATAGTCTGTAGGGTTTGCAAACTACCTCAAAGCTTTTGATGTCACTAATTTTAGGTTCATGATGGAATAATACGGATTTGCCATAACACTTCTTGCATGAGAACCTGAAAGCCTGAGTGTCATGCCAGATGCATGAGTTGGCAGCCCTGTCAGCGCTCAGTATAAATAAAGTTGCCTGGTCAGATAGATTATGTGCTATAATTAGTTTAAATAAGTCATACAAAACCATAAACAACATGCAACAATTTCTGGTTCCCAAATCAAAGTTTGCTACCAGCAGTTCAGTTACAGCTGCTCATAGCTTGAATAACCAAGCTTTGGGACTGTGACATCACTCTGCTGATCCCAGGATTTGAACTGGTGACCTTCTAATGACAGACACAACATCCTAACCCACTGAGCCCCCCACCTTGAAGGGTTCTGTTTCCTGTGCTGTTGGATGATTCTCTCGCCCCAGGTTCACCATTACCCCCCTCCCCCCAGAAAGGCCACACTGTCCTCACCAAAGTGCAGAATGACCTGGTCTTGTTTTCTCACCATGATGTCAGCTGGAAGATGGAGGTTCTCTCAGAAAAACTGGGAACATCCAGAGCTACAGCAACTTCAGTAATGAAGGCAATTACATGGACAAGATAGAAATCGCAGGCATTGCTCTTCCAGTAGCATCCATGTTAGCAATAAGCACAACCCTCTGATGAGCTGTCATAACGGGGGGGGGGGGGTCCCCACCCTCGGCAGTCACACCACCAGCCGGCATTGTGTTGCTTTTCTGTCTAATGCCTTTAGATTGTGTACCAAGAGTCATTAGGTAATGGAACTTCTGTTTAATTTATGAAGCATTCCTTTGTGATGGTGTCCTGTTCTGAAGAAGAGCAGCCATCCAGATTACAATGAATGCTTCCACTTACATTTCAACCCATTTCATGCACACAAAAGGTGACAGACTGGACACTGTGGTGTTCCCTCTGACCTCGCTGAAGTTAGCCTGCCTGTTTTTCAAACAGAAATGTGTACTAAGAGGATCCAGCAAAACATGCCCGTGTCTAAGTTAAAGTTCTGATTGCAAGGCAGTGTAAGGCTAATTTCTTGGTTAACAATTAACATTTCTTCCTCAGGCTGATATCTGTTTATACTTTATTCATTAAAGAGGCACCAATCTTTTCATTTTGATCTGCATGATTTAATGTAATTTAATTGAATTTTCTTTTTAAGTTTCCTTTGGTCTTTCCATAGTTTTTCTTTTTTGGAATTTTATTGAACTTTATTTCACATGTATAAAATGTTCTATACATATTAAATGATTAGTGTATTACTAATTATATTATGACCGTTTTGATTGAAATGGTTGCTAAGGGTTTATCAGTCACTTTCTCTGTGTTTCTATGTGATGGGATGATGGGTGGATGGATGATGGATGGATGATGGCAGCATGAGTGGATGGATGATGCTGCATTGGGGATGGGTGATGGTGGCATGAGTGGATGGAAGATGATTGCATGAATGGATGGATGATGGCTGCATGAGTGGATGGATGATGGATGGATGGATGATGGATGGATGGATGATGGCTGCATGGGTGGATGGATGGTGGATGGATGGATGATGGATGAG